GTAGCTGGCTGGGGAATTCTGGGAGTTGAAGTCCATAGGACTTAAAGTCACCAAGGTTGAGAAACACTGTTCTATAGTATTGTCTATAGGTGTCCAAACTTGCGAACTTTTAAGACCGGTGGACTTCAATTCCCAGAATTCCCCAGCCAGTCCACCCGTCTTAAATTTCCCAAGTTTGGACACCCCTGAACTAGTTGATTCTTATTTTATTTTTTTCTTCCCCTTCTAAGCTTTTAGCTTCTTGCATTTCATTTAATTTCCCCCCTCCAAGTTCTTCTTCTGTTTTCTTTTTGTGTGTTTAAGCAAACTTCCTGTTTCCTTATTACCTATCAAGGAGTCATGTGCTTGTTTTGAAATCAGAAATGTTTCTCCATAGATCTGAAACTCCATTTTATAACAGTTTAAAAAATCTTTCAAAGCCTCCCCCAATTATCTCTCTTCACAATTAGTCCGAATTTCAAGTCTATTTAATGTCCTTGTCTTTCTTCCTTTGTTCAATGATTCCTCTTCTTTTCAAAAGGAGGGTGCTCTACTGAATTAATATAATCCAATTCCAGAAATAGATAAATCCAGTTTTCAATTAACTTTCTTCAAAGAGAGCCAAAAGGGGGGACACACACACACACAAGCACTCCTTAAATTTTCTCACAATATCCAAATTATCTTCTTTTTGTAGAGCCAAGGTCAAATCTTCCAGCTGCTACTTCTCTTGTTTTGTCTATTTTAGTCTTAGTATATATTTCACTCACCAAGCCAGCTGAGTTTTGTAGTACTTTTTTTCCTCCAGTAGATGGCACTCTGAATTTCTATTTCATATAAAGTAGCCTAAGAAATACAGCTAATTGTCCAAATATCCAGGGAGTTTAAAATACACATAAAAAATGCTATTTTCTCCCGAAAACATCGCTCCAGCTCAATTCTTAAATTCGGTTGTCCCAGCTTTGAGACGACCATCAGAAAATGGCTGCTGCCCCTGCTGCTGATTGGAAGAGGTGTTTCTGTCCTGGCGAGGAAATTGCCAATTCCTCACCGTCCCCAAAATGCCTCTCCTTTCTTCACCACCCCTACAAGATGGCTATGGCCCTAAGGCCTCCCAACAGCGTGTACCAACTGGTTTTCATGGGGCTCATCAGGGCTCCACTAATTTCTAGTCCGTTCTTGCTGCGACATCAACCGGAAGTCAAGTCAGAAAGCTGGTTTTCTGAGCCAGGTGACCAGTGGGGGGGGGGGGTTCCGGGCAGTACAGCCTGATATGGGCGTATTGGTGGCAGCTGGGAGCAGCGGCCACCATACCGGAACGGTGTTTCAGTGGGCCCATCCGCCTGCGTTCGTTACCTGTTTTTAAGGCAACTGGGCCAATTGTGCATTCGCGCACAACATACAGCGCCTGCACGACCTCCGCTGAGCAGCTGGAGTGTCGCAGGGCGGTGGCATTTCGCATACGTGCATATCACGCGTACCCGAGGTGGAGGCCTGGCCCCGTCGCAGTGTACCAGTTGCGACGGGATCTGGAACCCACCACTGCAGGAGGTGTCCTGCATGCCTCCTGCCAGGGAGCTGGGCCTGGCACCTACCTGCTAACCCTGTGCTCTGCTCCTTTCCAAGCTTGGTGCGGCCAGATTGACCATGAGCGGGAAGTCTCTGCTGCTGAAAGTCCTCCTCCTGGGCGACGGGGGTGTTGGCAAGAGCTCCCTCATGAACCGCTATGTCACTCACAAGTTTGACTCCCAGGCCTTCCACACCATCGGGGTGGAGTTCCTCAACCAGGACCTGGAAGTGGACGGACGCCTCGTGACTCTCCAGATTTGGGACACGGCGGGACAGGAGCGCTTCAAGAGCTTGCGGACACCCTTCTACCGCGGCGCGGATTGTTGCCTCTTGACCTTCAGTGTTGATGACCGCCAGAGCTTCGAGAACTTGGGCCACTGGCGGAAGGAGTTTGCCTGCTACGCCAATGTCAAGGATCCGGAGCACTTCCCCTTTGTGGTGCTGGGCAACAAGGTGGACAAGGTGGAGAGGCAGGTGGCAGCAGAGGAGGCCCGGGCATGGTGCTTGGCACACGGGGACTACCCTTACCTGGAGACAAGTGCCAAGGACGATACAAATGTGGCGGTGGCTTTTGAGGAAGCAGTGAGGCAGGTGCTGGCCTTGGAAGAGCAGCTGGAGCATTGCGTCCTGGCCCGCACGGTCGACTTGCACCGGAGTGCCAAGCGAGGCTCTTCGTGTTGCTGAGAGGTGCCAGTATAGAACTGGCTGCTGTTTACGGAGGGAGAAAGGGGGGAGCAACGCAAAGGGAAGAGGGGATCCTTGGCTTTTCTCTTTAGCCCACTCAGCCCTTCAGTGGTTGAACTGCCCTAGAGTAGCCCCTCAGCCTCCTGATCATGTGGTGTGGGGGTTAGGCTCTGGCGGAAGGCACTTCCTGTTCCCTCTCCTCTCCCCCTGCCCTGGGAGTTGGGGGCCGGGGTCCTTTGTCTGCCCCATACACCTCAGCCCCTGAGCAGGACCAGGGAGAGCAGGAATCGCTGGAGCTGTTGCACAGTCACCTGGTGGCAAGGAGACTGAGTCATGTGGGACTTTCTGGCCAAGATGCCTTGTGCTGATGAGGTATGTGTCAAATGGGTGGGGGGAGTTGAGCAGAATCCCCCCCCCCATCTCTATGGTTACTGTTAATGCCAAGCAACAAGAGACCTCTGTGCTCTATCTCCCCCCACTTCTGCCTTTGCTCCTGTGGATTCCCCTGGAAGCTGCTTCAGGTGCCTTAGCTGGAAGTCGGGGATAAGCCTCACTTTGACTTTGTAGGAAGCATGAGCCGAGGTGGTGCAGTGGTTAGGGTGCGGTACTGCAGGCCACTTCAGCTGACTGTTATCTGCAGTTCAGCGGTTCTAATCTCACCAGCTCAAGACTCAGCCTTCCATCCTTCCGAGGTGGGTGAAATGAGGACCCAGACTGTGGGGGCAATATGCTGACTCTGTAAACCTCTTAGAGAGGGCTGAAAGCCCTATGAAGCGGTATATAAGTCTAACTGCTATTGCTATTGCTATTGC